GCCTTGAGACCTCTTGTCACAGATGTTTTGTTGGGACCAACTTCAAAATTTATGTAAATACAAAGCCGTTAGAAGGTAGGAACCTAGACAAAGCTGATCCCGTAGGTACAATTTCAACAAATTTTATATCTGTAACTTTAGACATTTTAGTATAATCAGGGTTTTAGTTCTTGTACTGTTATTTATTATGTGGTTATAGAAAGGCGTCAGATTATATAACAGTGCATTGTTACTGTATACAATAATTTAAAATTAAAAATTTTGTAGAGCCGACTTCAATATAAGTTATTACGAATAACTCAAAAACTATTGGTCTGGCCTTGATCAATTTCATATGGGACCACACGAGAAGTACCAGCTTTCAAATAAAAAAGAATCATCGAAATCGGTTCACCCAGTAAAAGGTTATAAATTAACACACATAAAAAAAACATACAGTCGAATTGAGTACCGTCTCCTTTTTGGAAGTCGGCAGAAAATCGGTCATATGCACGTTACGCACTGTTAGTTTTCTGTAACATATCAGCGTATACTTAAATCGTGACATTCGTAGATCATATCTACTTGACTAATTCATTGGTCTAGTGGTCCTAAACGTGATTGCTGATCTTGCGGTCCAAGGTTCGCATCCCGGGTTGAGCCAAATTAAGTGATTGGGTTGATAAGCCGTTGTAAAGTCAACGTTCCTGCGCAATTTGTTTGTTACAATAATCTAAGGCTGTTTTTATCCTAAATAAAGTCAGATTGCAGTCCCATCGAACTATAAGAGAGACTATAATCCTGTGCTGCGCAGATGGTTAGTCGTTGTAGACTATGCGTTGTCACAACTAAGTTCAGCGATAATTAATAAAATCAGGGCTTACTTTGAGGAAATCTATTATATTAAAGATAAGTGACCCGCCCTGGATTTGCCTGGGTAGGATCTATTAATGTGGCATTATTGGGATTTAAGATTATCAAGGAACAGTGTTTTTTTTTAAATCGTCAATTTTTTCGAATCAAATTTAGCCTCCATCACTCCTGGCATTGGTCTCTATATGTTTGTAAGTTTCATTATAATCAGTTCAATCATTCCAAAGATTTTCCCGGACATATATATATATATATACCTAGTCAGGTCATAAGTATTGTCACACAGTAAAAACTTTTCTTTTAGAATGCTGACCACAAAAAAGTTTATTGAATTCGAATTTCGAATTGTTCATGAAAATAAAACTGTATACTTTTTAGAATTTTACTCATTTTTAAATATAGAGTGGATGCTTAAAGAAGACCGTGTTGCAGTTATTGCGTTGCATCGTTGCGGTTACGCGCCAATTCAAATTTTTGACATACTGAAAAATTTTAATATAACCAAAAGATTCGTTTATCGTACAATCAAACGATACAATAAAGACTCTACTGTAGATGACAGGTCAAGAAGTGGTCGCCCTCGGTCTGTTAAGACTGCAGCAGTGGTAAAAGCTGTGAAGGCGCGAATTTAAAGAAATCCCAAACTTAAGCAGAAACTGTTGGCCCTTCAGATGGAATTAAGCAGAACCATGGTGAAAAGGGTGTTAAATGAAGACTTAGGGCTTCGGGCATATCGAAGAAAAACAGGACATCGTTTGAATGCTCGTCTAATGGACCTGAGACTGAAGAGATGCCGCGCTTTGTTGAAGCGGTACGCGGGAAAAAATATCGGGAAATTCTGTTTTCGGATGAAAAAATTTTTACCGTAGAAGAGAGCTACAACAAACAAAATGATAAGGTGTACGCACACAGTAATGAAGAAGCGAGCAACCGTATTCCGCGTGTCCAACGAGGTCATTTTCCATCCTCTCTCATGGTATGGTTGGGAGTTTCTTATTGGGGCTTAACAGAGGTACATTTTTGTGAGAAAGGTGTAAAAACGAATGCAGTTGTGTATCAAAATACAGTCCTGACGAACCTTGTGGAACCTGTTTCTCATACCATGTTCAATAACAGGCACTGAGTATTCCAACAAGATTCGGCGCCAGCTCATAGAGCGAAAAGCACACAAGACTGGCTGGCGGCGCGTGAAATCGACTTCATCCGGCACGAAGACTGGCCCTCCTCCAGTCCAGATTGGAATCCGTTAGATTACAAGATATGGCAACACTTGGAGGAAAAGGCGTGCTCAAAGCCTCATCCCAATTTGGAGTCACTCAAGACATCCTTGATTAAGGCAGCCGCCGATATTGACATGGACCTCGTTCGTGCTGCGATAGACGACTGGCCGTGCAGATTGAAGGCCTGTATTCAAAATCACGGAGGTCATTTTGAATAAACTTTAGTGTCATAAGAATCTATGTTTTGTTAAGTTCATTTTGGTATATAAATGGTTACATAATGAATAAACTTGTTTCATTTATTTTATATTAAACAAGTGACAGAATTTGTGACCTGACTAGGTATATATATATATATATATATATATATATATATATATATATATATATATATATATTTTTATAGCATAAGGGTGACAAACGAACACAGTCCACCTGATGGTAAGTGGTTGCTGCGGCCCATAGATATCTACATCTATCCTCGTTTGCGAATCAAAATGCAGATGCGTTGTCACCCATGATGGAATGCCTCATTTCCAGTAAAAAGGGCCTCCGGCCGCCTGCACACACCAAGCAAAACACAGAGGTAAACCTCTACTTCACTCTGGTATTCTATGAGCTCATGGTACCACCCGGTTCGAGCCGGCCCATCCATGCGACAGCAAAAGCTGCCGCGTGGCTCTACCACTGTCTATATAAGATAGGCGTGCAAAATACAAATGATATTTATAACCTACTTCGAAGAAAATTTAATTTTCGTAACCTTCATACCTCCCGTCATCCCTTGATTGCGTGCACTATCGACATAAACTAAGAATAGATCCCTATTTTACGTCTATTTTTACTTCAAAGCCTAGAGAGGTAACTCCCTTTTTAACCTATTTCACAGATAGGAGTCCATTAAATGAAGAACATGCTCCTAGACCGTTATCTCATTTTCTTAGCAGTGTTGCGTGCTCACGCAATCAAATGTCGTTCTGCGCCATTAAATTGTTTACATGCGGACATCGAAACATTAATACAATAATTTTTTTTATGTTCTACAAAATTCACCAAAGCTATGACAATATTTTACTCTACAAAACTTATTTTCTAAAAGCGATGCTAAAAATAAATAATATCGTATTTGAATAAGAGCCTACCTCCCAATCAAATACATATTTCTAACAATTCTCTCGCAAAAGACAAATTTACAGTTTTAAGTAAAGTAAAGATATATCCTACATACGTCCTCTGTAAATGTGCTAAGTACTCTGAAGGCCTTATATGCTTTCTGAGCAGGTTTGTAGGGCAATAGAGTGTCCGCCGCGCGATGCATGTTTTGGCGGACTTCGCATGTTGTTTTCGAATTATTTTTAAAGTTTTGTTCTTGATTAATATTGAAATCTTTATCAAAAACTAGACACATTTTACATTAAATTTTGATCCATTTATAATTAAGTTTTTTTTTTAAATTAAGGAATATAACTTTATCTTGAATAATAAATTAGCTAAAATCTGCGCAATATATGAAGATTATATGTTTTAACTATTTTGTACGTGATAGAATTCGAAATGATTATCCACAGTACAACCAGAGTAACCGACATGATCCAACGGATCTGTAAGCGGTAGAACATAACACAAATGGTAGACCCACGCTGCATTTTATTATGACAGCAGCAAGAATGGGTCTCCATCACCGGAGAAGTACCACGCTCTCCCAGAATACCAGTGTTAATTAATGGTCTAATACTGCTGTGTTTCGTATAGTGAATTACTACAGCCACAGTATTATTATTCAGGGGTAACGATTCATTGGTGTTTTGATTTTCAGTCTGGAATAGGTGTAGATGTATATAGGTTGCTGTGTTTTGTTTGGAGAGTGTAGGTAACCGAAAAATCTTTTTTACAGGAAACGAGGCATTATTTAATTTATAATGTATAGACTTTACAGGCTGTAAGCATGTATTGAATCATTTTACCCTAATCTGACGAAGATGTTAGATGTAGAACTTACCATTGATGGACTGTGTACTCGTTTATCATTATTTCTTGTATAAAAAGAAAAAACTTCCAAGTAGACTTTTATTGGAAATGTAAAATCCACCTAAACTAGCTAAACTAACCCAATAAGTGTTCGTATATTTTGTTCGTAATATTTTGTAACTCAGACATACTGGTTTCCTCACGATGTTTTGCTTCATCGCCAATTATGATAAATCAGCACTTAACATTACAATTTACAATTTCATTGGTACCGACGGGATCAGGATTAGGTCGCTCTCTTAATAATAATTTCTATATATTCAGATAGAATCTTAATATATATAAATTACATATTACATTGTTTGTCTCTCCTCTATAATACTTAATAAGCTTTCTCAGAAGTAAGCTTATTAAATATTATAGAGGTGTTAATTTTATTAAACGACAAAAGTTGTCTTTATATTTGAAAACATTATACTGAGTAAGAGTTTCTACATATGATGGAATGAAATTTTTTTTTCCATTTTTTTATAGGATAGGTTGACAAACGAGCACTCAGTTCACCTAATGGTAAGTGGTTGCTGTGGCCTATAGACATCTACATCTATCTTCGTTTGCGAATCATAATGCAGATGCGTTGTCACCCGTGAGGACTAAGATGGAATGCCTCTTTTCCAGTAAAAAGGGTCTCCGGTTCTCTACACTCACCATACGAAACACAGCAGCGTTTAGCTGCTTTTTACGCTGGTATGCTGTGAGAGCGTGGTCCTTCCTCATTGGAGCCGACCCATCCGTGCTACGACTATACTACTAATATAGCTGCATTATGGTTCTACCACGTTAAACAAGTGGAAAAATTTGTTCAAGTTCATGTCAAAGTTTGGCGTTTAATGAAGTTCAATAATAAATTATTAATCATTATGTATATAGATTTATTTTAAATGGCAGATCAGTTTTCATCTAAAATAATCTTCTGTAGGCATATGGAGCAGCGTAACCGAAGGCACCGTAGCCAAAGGGATATCCGTAAGGGAGAGCGGCGTAGGCGAAAGGAGCAGCTGGGATCAGAGCGGGGTCTTTCCTGACATTAGCATTGAAGCCCTCAGCACCGGCGGCGTAGTCGACAGTCCTGCGAGTTCCATCAGCGTCAAGGAGAGAGTATTGGCCTTGTACATTGTCACCGGCGCGGCTCTCAATCTGACTCTTGTAGTCACCGGTGTAAGGATCAGCAACACCATAAGAGAAGGCGGAATAATCCGAGGCACTGACTGCTGCCACAAGGGCGAAAAGGAAGACAAACTGTAACGAAATAGAGCATTAGTTATTTTTATCAAAACTTACACATTGACGCCATTTTAGGCACACTTTTTACGCTTATATTGACATAAAAATCCTACTCAAACAGTACTTAGATGACTTCATAATAACTATGTTCTCCAGAACGAATTTTGGTAATAGCAGCCAGTCTCAACTGGGACAAGCTATGTGCGCAGGACAGGATTATAGTGCACGAGTGTGTGCGTAAGCATAGGTGCACTCTCTATTCTCTCACTCTCATTGTCCGGTGAGACTGAAATCCAACACAACCGGAGAGGGATCAGGTTATGTGTTTTTTGAAGCAAGTTGGTTAAACACCGCCAATTTCGTGACTCCGGGCTGCTTCTGAGAATTTCTTGAGAGAAACCCCCGATTTTGGCCCGACCCTTGATTCGAACCCTGGACCACATGATGAGCAATTACGCTTACCACTACTACACAAACGAGGTATTCAAATTAGATGGTTTATTCTTGCATTTAGTAACCATGTTTGTTTTTAGATGCCCTAACTATCACAACGTACTGACATTATCACAATCATCATCGTTGTATGATAAACCATCAACAATGCGTTCGATAGAACTGTTAAAGCTTTGATTACTGATTACTGTACTGTTTGGATTTATCAGCGGTAAATTCACTTTAGAATTTTTTTATAATATATACTAGAAACGTCACAGTTACCTTCGCAACCATTATTGTTATTTTAATATTGGAGTAAGTACACGGACGGCTTCTCTTTAACTGATGCTGTAGTTGGCTCATCAACAGATATTTATATGATTGAGATATGTACATTCTAGTTTAACATCCAGTTTCAGACAAGTAGGAAACAAATAAATGTCAAGTTCAAACTTCATCACAATTAAACGGTAACATTTAATGGATTGTTACAGGTTTTAATAATGGATACTACTCGCATTTAAGCCATCACAAAAAATAGGTAGATATAAATCCATTTCCGTTGCCCATTTTGTCTTGTTGGTACTATCGGGTACCAAGTAAAACACCAAATGTTACTTGAGAGGAAAGTGTAAAAAAGAAACTTGTAAAGTGAACCTAAAAATGAACCTTTGATACGTAAACAATGTTTAATATCGCCAATCTGGCTTGCAAATATTTACTAGATGGTAGAATCCGATTTTGTCAGGTGGGCACAAGCGGGTACCAAGGAAACACCAAATGTAACTTGAGAGGAAAGTGTAAAAAAGAAACTTGTAAAGTGAGAGACGTTCGATACGTAAACAACGTTTAATATCACAAATCCGGCTTGCAAACATTTACTAGGTGATAACGAGCACACAGTCCACCTGATGGTAAGTGAATAATGTGACCCATAGACGTCTATATCTACCATTAATTAAATTAGTGTATTAGTTTTGTAATTACTCACTTTAGATTGTCAAATTCTAATAATAAAAAATAAAAATTTAGTTTGTCAAGTGTTTAATAATTGTTTTATCTATGGATCGTCTGTGGAGTCCCAAGTCATATAGCAAAATGCATAAGATACTTTACTATGAAAATGGACATAGTAATTTAGCTATTTTTATATTTGCTAACTATTTATTTATATGCATAGCAATGTAGCTACACTCTATATTCAATGTAACCGTAATTAATGTAATTACAGAAATACGGCCGAATTTGCAAACTTCGAATTTGTTCGTTGACCTGCAAGAAGATAAAACCAAAAAGAAACTTTATCTCGAACTCTATTGGAATTACCCAAATTAGAAATTTCTCTCTTGGAATACCAATTCACCAACCAAATACCAAGTATAATAAACAATGCTTCTTCAGCACAAAGAGCCGTTTCTGTCGTGTCAATAAAAGTACAATAGTAAAACAGCTTGCAATATTTAATTTTTTTTTAAGAAAATTCGATTCGGTGTAGATATACACGATACAGGAGAAAATTCTAGAATGGAGGTGCCACACTAGAATTTTCTCATGTATCGTGGGGCCAGATTACATACATACATTTCACAAGGACAAACATACAGACCCGGAAGAATTGGGATTCGAACCCGCCGCCCTTAGCGCTGCAATATAGGTACATATACACCTCAATTTTTTATGACTAGAAAATTTTAAAGGCAATTTTAAATTTTGTGTGATTTCAAAAGTTTTTTTTCAAAATCCCGTGGAGCCAAACGAACACACAGTCGAGTGGTAAATGAATGCTGAAGCCTAAGACACCTACATCTGTCATCAATTATATATCAAAATGCAAATGCGTTGTAAGCCCTAATGACTAAGATTGCATAGTTTGTCTACCGACTTCAAAAAGAAGACGGTACTCAATTCGACGGTATGTTTTTTTTTGTTGTTTTTGTCATAACTTAATTATCATAACTTTATACTGAGTGAACCAATTTCGATGATTCTTTTTTTTATTTGAAAGCTGATGCTTAACATGTGGTCCAATATAAATTTGATCAAGGTCTGACCAATAATGTTATTCTTAATAATGTATATTGAAGTCGGTTGTACAAAATATTTAATTTTAAATTATTATCATTAAAGAGGAGTATCTGCACTAATCATAAGTAACACAGCAACATTCATTTTTTTATAGTATTGGGTGACAAACGAGCATACAGTCCACAGTGATGGTAAGTGGCCGCTGTGGCCCATAAACATCTACATTTATCCTCGTTTGCGAATCAAAATGCAGATGCGTTGTCACCCGTGAGGACTAAGATAGAATGCCTCTTTTCCAGTAAAAAGGGTCTACGGTTCTCTACACTCACCATACGAAACACAGCAGTGTGAAACAGCTATTTGACGCTGGTATTCTGTGAGAGCGTGGTCCTGCCCCGGTAGAGCCGACCCATTCGTGCTACAACTATACTACTAACATAGCTGCATCATGGCTCTACCACGATATATTTATCTGTTATTTTAGCAAACAGACATACAAAAAATCCTTAAAAGCATACTTAAACTCTTGTAATCTTTTTTAAAGTATAATGAATGTATTCGTGGGAAAATTTACCCATGTGTGTCTTTCCTAGTGTAGTGGTGTTGGGAGTAGTGGTGATGGGATTAGTGGTGACAGGGATAATGCACGCAATTGAGGGAGGGCGGGATGTGTTCTGCAAACTAGGTAAGACACATCATTTTATTTTATAACGAGCGGATGTACGCAAAGTAATTTTTTTACTAGCTTTAAGGTAAATAGGTGGTAATTTCTAAGACGGGCTCCCTAAGCCTAGTGGAATATTATTTAAATATAAATAAAATTTACAAAATTTAAATCCAATATTGTCAAATAGTAAAATATAATATTCAAGTAGAATATAAAATTTGATATGATGATGATAATTTAGTTAGCGTTAATAATACAACAGAATTATGTTCGCCTTCACCTGGATTCACAACTAACTCATTAAACTGATTGTCTTGACTAATTGCTGTCTCAAGCTTCTCGGCCTTTTCATTTGTGGCAGCATCGCTATGAGAGCACTTTAGAGTAATTTCATTGAAATTTTATAAATTTTCCTATGCTGGTAAAACTTTACAACTAAACGTTACGAATTTTTAAACAAATCGTGTCTCAAATAGCTTGTCATTGCTGAAATTATCTTTATGTTGTTTAACCGAGCCGAACCGTATAGAAGCGTTGTAAGAATATCCGTAACACCCGATTAAAATCAGTATCTTCTTGATAACAATTCAAAATTATAAAAAAACTGCGGTTGCCAAACCGTTTGCCAAGCATGGCAAATAGGGCATAATCTCTATAATCGTAATCTCTACGAGGAAACAATGGGGGAGGCCTAAGTTCAGCAGTTTTTTTTTGGGTTTTATTGAATGGATATTGTATATTTATATTTTTACTGAAAACCGCTATTCAATGCACGCCACAACAAAATCAACGTTTTTACTTTACCTCCATGTTATAAATCTTAATATGTGATGGAACCACGCTGTAATGTAGGTATCATGGCTGAAGCTCGACCGAAAAAAGACTACGTTCACTCAGATTCAAAGGTCCACTGCTGAACATATTGTTACGAGCTTGGGGTTCGAGACAATTAAAAACTGCCGATTGAATTACCAAAATTGACACTTTAATCACACAACACTAATTACAATCTAAAATCACACTAATAATAAAACACAGTTCGCCGTTATTTCGCTTCGAAGCATTCTCTTGTATCGCCAATTCAATACTGCCTCGGTCGTGGTCTATACCGGCCTTATATAGGGCCTCAGATAGTTTCCAGAATCTTCTACTGTAGCGACATCTAGAATGTTCGAGTACATTTCGGTCCCGAAATTTCTGGAAGGATCTCCACTCTCCTAGTTCTGCTACTCGACACTAGAGGGCGCTAGTGTGACTAGTGTTGCCATGTACAAGACATTAATAGTGGCGCGCAATACTTTCATTTACTCGACACTAGGGGGCGCTAGTGTAACTAGTGTTGCCATGTACAAGACATTAATAGTGGCGCGTAACACTGCCCCCTCCTAAGACATGCTCGTCCCGAGCATTATTGGCCCCATAATAACGCGCCAGTCGATCCACATGGACAATCTTAGGAGTACCTCTGGCACCTTTCTGTATCCGGTAGGTTACATCATTGATCCTTGTCACAATCCGGTACGGTCCGTCCCATTTAGCTTGAAGCTTAGGAGATTTCCCTTTGCTGCGAACTGGATTGTGTAACCACACTAGTGAACCTTCATCAAACCCCTTGTTGTTCATTTTGCGGTCATACCGTGTTTTCATCTTCTCAGACGTTTGCTGGCCCGTCTGTCTGACGTGCTCATAAATGTCATTCATTTTGTTCCGCAAGTCATTTGCATAATCGGTTATACTGCGTGGGGCATCAGGTGGTATTCCGGTGATCAGGTCTGCAGGCAGCCGCAATTCTCTCCCAAAGTTTGCGAAAGCTGGTGTCACTGATGTACTTTCGTGAACAGCGCTTCGATATGACAACAAAAACGGTTGTATGTGCCTGTCCCAGTCTCGTTGCCGTTTTTCCACAACTTTTGCTAGGTACCTCTCCAATGTCTGATTAAATCTTTCTACCATTCCATCAGATTGTGGGTGGTAAGAAGTTGTTCGTGTTTTCTGAGTACCCATAACTCGGCAAGTTTCCTGGAATATTTGAGACTCAAAATTCCTTCCTTGATCGCTGTGAATCTCTAAAGGTACTCCAAAACGACAGAAGACTTCATGAACTAGTTTATCTGCAACTGTTGAAGCTTCTTGATTTGGAATGGCGAAGACTTCTGGCCACTTAGTGAAGTAATCCATCACTACCATGAAATACTTGTTACCACTTTCAGTTTCTGGAAACGGCCCCGCAACGTCAATGGCTATCCTCTCCCATGGTGCACCAACATTGTACAATTTCAATGCGCCTCTACTACGAATTTGAGGTCCCTTTACAGCCGCACAACTTGTACATTTGCGGCACCAGTCCTCGACATCGTCACGACAGTGGACCCAGTAAAACCGTTCTCGGATCTTCAAGAGAGTTCGTTTAACTCCCAGGTGGCCTCCTGAACAACCACTATGGTACAGCTGTAGAATATCCGGCACTTTAGCCTTAGGGACAACCATTTGCAAATGACACCTGTCTCCCCGACCATTTTCCCATTTACGGCACAG